ATACAAAATTAGCTGGGCATGGTGGCACATGTCTGTAATCCCTGCTACGCGGGAGGCTGAGGCAGGAGAATCACTTGAACGCAGGAGACAGAGGTTGCAGTGAGCTGACATCGCACCATTGCACTCCAGCCTGGGTAACAAGAGTGAAACTCCGTCCTGAAAAAAAAAATCATTATATTATAATCTTCATAATTGCTTTGCTTTGCATCTTACTATAGACTTGTTGGATATCTAGGTGGCTGTAAACTACCCAAAGACAGATAGAAACAGCAGTGGAGATAATTAGAAAACTGCAGTATTACTATAAAAGAATAACAATAGGGGGAAGTTGTAAGGGTAACTAAACACGAAATTGAATTTTTCCTGTTGCCAAAAGGGAAGAAGATATCTTTCCCCATTTCACTTTCCTTAGAGCATTTCCTTCAGAAAAGTTGTATTTGTAAATTCTTCCTTTGATCTGTAAGCCTCTGGCCACCCTAGAACCCAGGAATGTCTTGAACTTGAACTCCAGGCCTCAAGTGATCCTCCAGCCTCAGCCTCCCAAAGTGTTGGGATTACAGGCATGAGCCACCATGCCCAGCCCCTAGGAATGTCTATCTTCAGGTCCTTGGAGCCATCTCTTTGAAATGTGAACATCAAGGAAGATGATGTCCTTGTCTCCCTGTCAGCAGGGGAGTTTAGCCTAGGTGCCTTGCTCCAAGCTTTAAGCACCTGCTTGTCATAGAGATATGAGTTTTATTTTTCCTTCAGATAAAGGCAATTAACTAACACAGATGGGTACTCTAATTACTCGGTGAACTTAGGACTTACATGGGAGTTTTCAGTTTTCACTCTTGGCTGGTGCTGTACAACCAGGCCAATTAGCTACATACCTGGACTTTCTGAAATCTGCTACCACTGTTGCGTTTGTTTGTTTGTTTTGTTTTGTTTTTGAGAGTGAGTCTCTCTCTGTCGTCCAGGCTGGAGTGTAATGGTGTGATCTCAGCTCAGTACAACCTCTGCCTCTTGGGATTAAGCGATTCTCCTACCTCAGCCTCCTGAGTAGCTGAGATTACAGGTGCACGCCACCATGCCCAGCTAAATTTGTACTTTTAGTAGAGACAGGGTTTCACCATGCTAGCCAGGCTGGTCTCGAACTCCTAACCTCATGATCCGCCTGCCTTGGCCTCCCAAAGCGCTGGAATTACAGGCGTGAGCCACCATGCCTGGCCTTTGCTACCACTTTTGGATTGTATGAAACGCTACACTTCAAAGTGTGGGATCTGGCTTCCCAGACAGCTGCCAAGGGGGCAGATGATGCAATCTAGAAGTGTAGTGGAGCTAGTGCCTGTGGGTTGAATTTTGACCATTAAGAAAAGGAACCAGGAGTGAGAGCCAGGTACGTAAATTGCCTCTCCTCTCCTCTCTTCATGTACCATTGCAGGCATGGTTTCTCAGTATGGTCTATTCAGAGGTGTCCTCAATCATCCAAATTCTGTTTCTTTGGGAACCTGGGCTAAAACAATGGGCATTCAAACAGCCGAAGACAGTGTTAAGTGTTGTGGAGGACCTAGATCTGGGCAGAAGAAAATTATCCCAATAAGAAAATGGACAATTTGAGGATTTGGAATATAGGGAAGGACTAGAAGAACCAGTAGTAGTATGGCGTAGGGGTAATAATTTTGGAGAAAAAGGCAGTTCTGGTGATTTTCCCTGTGAACTGCTCAGCTCTGTAAAATATATACTTCTTTCTTTCCATCAGTCTCCCTTATGAAATCTTCCATAAATTATCCTTTTATAACTATCTATTGCCTGTGAAGTGAATTTTCTTTTTTTCTTTTTATTTAGAGATAGAATCTCTGTTGCCCAGGCTGGAGTGGAGTGGTGCCACCTCGGCTCACTGCAATCTCCTCCTCCCGAGTTCAAATGATCCTGCTGTCTCAGCTGCCCTAGTAACTGGGAATACAGGCGTGCACCACCAGGCCTGGCTAATTTTTTTTTTTTTTGTATTTTTAGTAGAGATGAGGTTTCACCGTCTTGGCCAGGCTGGTCTCAAACTCTTGACCTCAGATGATCCACACACTGCGGCCTACCAAAGTGCTGGGATTACAGGCATAAGCCACCGCACCCAGGCTGTCAGTTTTTTTGTTTGTTTGTTTTGAATAAAACAGATTGAGTCTTGTCCCAAAATGCAGGGGAAGCTGCACCCAGACAGGTAACAAAACATTATATACAGTAATACATAGGTTGTCTACATACCAATAATAACTATTTAGAAAATCAAATTGAGAAAAATTACACTTATATCCAGTGACAAATATACATAAAATATCTAAAACCAGATGATTGGAGCAAGATGGCAGATAGATCCCGTGCCCTACTCAACATTCCATTGAACTGGGAAGAAAATGTTTTCAAGGATCAATTCTTAACAGTGGAGGAAAATAGGAAAACGGGTCGGTGGTCCACCAGAAATATTGAGGCATTCCTGGGAGATAGAATAGATGGGATCAGACTGATAGAGAAACCCAAGGAGACAAGACCAAAGCTCAAATCACTGTAGGAAAGAGATGCTGTTTGTTTTTTGAGACAGAGACTTACTCTGTCGCCCAGTGCAGTGGTGTGATCTCGACTCACTGCACCCTCTGTCTCCCAGGTTCAAGTGATTCTCCCGCCTCACTCCCCGCAGTAACCGGAATTCACAGAGGCCAGCCACCACTACGGGTAATTTTTGTATTTTTAGTAGAGACGGGGGTTTTGCCATTTTGGCTAGGCTGGTCTCCAACTCCTGACCTCAAGTGATCTGCCTGCCTTGGCCTCCCAAAGTGCTGATATTACAGCGTGGGTCACCGCACCCGCCCAGAAGATGCTCATTGTAGCAAAGCCTCTGAAAATCTCCAAACCCTGAATCAAACAAACAAACAAACAACAACAACAACAAAAAACAGAGCTGGAAAAGACCTTAGGATAGTCATCAGGTAGGTTAATTTAAAAGTTCATTTGAAATGTCTGAATCAGCCAGATTCCCCTCCAACACCACACTCAGATTGGCTGGCAGTAGCCACTTTTTTCTCTAAGATGAAACTCTGATAATTGTTCATTAAAGCAATGAAGGCCTGGCGAGGTGGCTCACGCTTGTCATCCCAGCACTTTGGGAGGTTGAGGCAGGATGATTGACTGAGGCCAGGAGATACAGACCAGCCTGGGCAAAATAGTGGATGCCGTCTCTACCAAAAATACAAAAATTAGCTGGGTGTGGTGGCGTGTGCCTGTAGTCCCAGCTAGAATGGAAGCTGAAGTGGGAGAATCCCTTGAGCCTGGGAGATCGAGGCTGCAGTGAGCTGTAATTGCATCACTGCACTGCAGCCTGGGCGACAGAGTGCTATCCTGTCTCACAAAAACACTAAAAAACTAATGTATCGTTGGGCGTAGTGGCTCAGGGCTGTAATCCCAACACTTTGGGAGGCCAAGGTCAGCGGACCACGAGGTCAGGAGATTGAGATCATCATGGCTAACACAGTGAAACTCCGTCTCTACTAAAAATACAAAAAATTAGCTGGGTGTGGCGGCACGTGCCTGGATTCCCAGCTAGTCAGGAGACTGAGGTGGGAGAATCACTTGAACCTGGTAGGCAGAGCTTGCAGTGAGCCAAGATCTAGCCACTGTGCTCCAGCCTGGACGACAGAGTGACATTCTGTCTCAAAATAATAATAATAATAATAATAATAATAATAATAATAATAATAAAGTAATGTATCAGAACTTGATGGAACTTCAGCCCTTCACAGCAATAGTGAAGGAGAGAAACACATTTGTGGAGAGGGGACCATGTTCACTCTTTACCCTTGATAGACAAATAATCAGGAGCTTTATATACCCAAGGAACCTAAGGAAAAATGTTCCCTGTCACGACTCACAATCTTCCAGCCACCCTTTCTTGCACCTGTCTTGTAGGCTGGGGGACCCAACTTATGGATTCCATCATCCCAGGGAGAAAGAAAAATTAAATCATGCTCTCTTCTATTTGCATGGAGGATAAGGCACTCAATATCTAGTATCGGAATGTTATATTTGTGTAATACAGTACCATGTTGGGATAAAATAGAATTTGTTTCCTCTGAGCCACAGGTAGAGGTACGTCCACACTGACCTGCTTGGAAGCCACCTCTTCCTGAAGTGCCAGGCAGGACATGCTCACAGATCTGGGGAACCTCTGCTGCTCATGGAACTCCACAGCCTCCTTCCTGACACCCTCTCCCTCTGGTGGTTGTGACAGCCCACACTTGGCCTTGGGTCTCCCCTGCTTCTTTGCCTGCCCCTCTTCTGCCCACCCTGCATATCTCTGTCTCCCACTGTCCCCACTATGACCATGATTGCCTCTCCCTCCCTGCACTCTCTCTGTCCGAGTGATCCTTGTCTTGGGAAAATGAACCCACAGCCTCTACCTTGTGACTGGGGACAGAACCCTGGGCTTGTTCAATTCTCCCTCCCTCCATCACACGCACCTGTCCTCCTTAATGTTTCTAGAGTCAGTGAGCTCTAAACTCAGCCCCTCCTGCCCCTGCCAGCTGTAGGACCTGTGACAAGATGCCTACCATCTGTCTGGGACTCCGTTTCTCATCTATTATATAGGCATAATGATGATAGTGTCCTCCTTCCAAGGCTGGGGAGGTCCAGGAGGCCAAAGTGATGGGCCACGGATGGTCAAACTGCTCCAATCCTGCCTCCACCCAGGTATGGTGTTTCAAGTCCATTGTGTGTGAATGCAGCCTTAATGTCTCCAATCACACACAACGATTTGTTCTAAAATAGACTCCCCTCTGCCCTTCCCTTCCCCACATCTGTTTCCCCTCTGCACCGTGCGGTGGTACCTGTGAGAAAGAACTGTCCCATTCCCCAATCATCGTCCCCACCCCAGTCCCCAGGCCCTTGGTTGGTGAGACCCTTGATGGGCAGTCTCATGCTTCTGTCCAGGGGACTTTCCCACCGTTGATCCCCTGCATGGAGACTAAGTGGACTCTTTATTCGCTGTCCATCACAGGGTCTACCGTGCACGCATCTTCCTCATTCCTCCACGTTCCCCAGATGATGATTTCATCTGTGTCTCCTCCCACATACTCCCAAATGGATGGTCCCAGATCTTTAACTTGAAAATTGTTCAGAGAGCGAAGGCCAAGATGCCCAACCACCTGCTGCAGAATCCTGCTCCAGGACTGAAGTGTATGGTCTCTATCAAAATAAAAACTGGAGGCCAGGAGCGGTGACTCACACCTGAATCCTAGCACTTTAGGAGGCCATGATGGGAGGGTCGCTTGAGCCCAGGAGTTCAAGGCGGCATTGAGCTTTGATCATGCCACTGCACTCCAGCCTGGACAGAGCAAGACCCCATCTCTAGAAAAAACAGACAAACAAACAAACCAACAACTGGAAACATCCTCCTCTGGAATGGTGGTCAGGAACATCTGTCTGCCTTGTTCCCTGATGTCTCTCCATCACTTAGAACAGCGCTCAGCACAAGGATGCACTCATTAGGTTTTTGTTGAATAAATGACTCCTTTAACCCAGAAATTCCACTTCTAAAAATCTTTCCTAAAGAAATATTCACACATGTGCAGAGACCTGTGTCCAGAATAATGAGAGGAGCAAACAACTGGGGAACGTTTGCAAAGTTTTATTAACTGTTATTGACTGATACAGGGGAATCAGATGAGGGGAGTGCAAGAAGATGGGAGATGCTTATAGTGTTACTTGGTGTTTGTGTGGGTGTGTGTGTGGTGTGTAAATGCAGAGGAAAATATCTGAAATTAAACACTCAGAACTACCCTCAGTAGTCACATCTGGGGAGAGAGGAGGATAGTGCTGTTCTATGCAGAGAATACCTGACTGTGCTTGTTTTCTAAGGTAGGTGTATGGATACACAGACCGACATACGCATTAAGTATGTCTTGCTCATCAATGAAAATGTTAATATCTAACAGAATGGCACACTGCAAGAAAATACAACGGAAACGCTAACATCGAACTTTTGCCACACTAAAAAAAATGATGCTCAACTTTTCACTGTTGTGAACACTTGCTTTCACTTGCTATACACCTGATGGCAAGGGGTCCACAGCCATGCCCATGTTCGTGAAAGGTCACCAAGGTCTGCTTCTCATCACGGGCATGTGTTATATCCCTGAAGCTGAGGCAAGAAGAGAGAAGGAAAGTAAGTGGCAGTGAGTTCCCACCGCGTGACAACTCAATCTCAAGTCCTCCTGATATGCAGACCCTGCACACTCCGATTCTGCCCTACCTCAGGACCTGCGCACGCCTTCCATGGTTCCTTGAAGTGAACCATCTGCTCATGCCACAGTGACTTCCTTGTCTACGTTATCAATTCCTAGGCTAGAGGAAGATGTGTCCCGCATATCAGGGCTGACCTGGGGTTTGGGAACCCACAGCATCCTGGTTAGGGAGCATCGCTGGATATACAGGGTAGGGAGTAGAAAGAGCATGGTAAATCGGCCGGGTGCAGAGGCTCACGCCTGTAAACCCAGCAGTTTGGGAGACCAAGGCAGATGGATCACGAGGTCAGGAGTTCGAGACCAGCCTGACCAACATGGTGACAGTTCATCTCTACTAAAAATACTAAAATTAGCTGCGTTTGGGGGTGCACACATGTAATCCCACCTACTCAGGTTGCTGAGGCAAGAAAATCACTTGAACCCCCAGTGAGGCAAAATCGCCCCACCACATCCAGCCTGGGCAACAGAGCAAGAATAATCCCTCCAAAAAAAAAAAAAAAAAAAAGAAAGAAAAAAAGAAAGAAAGAGAAAGGGGAGTTTCATCATTCAGCTTCAATGCTGTATCCTAGAAAAGGGAATGATTTGGGGAACAAGTGACAAGATGGGATACCGGTACCATAACAGAAGAGCACATCTGCAGGGATGTGAGGGATGAGCCGAAGGTTCACTTACGGAGTTACCCGACATCTTCCTCAGCGTCGCTGATCTCTTCGTAAATCACCAGCTGCTTTCTCTCACTCAGTCTGTGGGTCCAGGCATGTTTCCCCCTTTTGGGTCCTATGATGGAGAAGAGTTGGAAAGTGAGGGTTGGGTAAGTTAGACAGTGTTAGGCTCTGTTTACTCAAAAACAGGAGATGCCTCCTTCCTCCCAAGTGCCCATGGGCCTTCTTTATCCAGTTTTTCACATCCTCTGGCTTAGAGAGGCTGAGATCTTAGACCCACACCAGTACACTGCAAATGCCAGTTAAAGTTTTAGCTTCTGGCTCCTTCCCTTGTTAGGTTTAGATTTCCAACCTCTTCACTTACGGGAACATTCACCCATACCTAGCTTCCATGCTGCACGTATTTGCTAAGGGCTTGCAGTCATACCTTGTTTTATGACACCTCATTTTTATACCGCTTCACAGATACTGCAATTTTTTTTTGAAATTCTCACCAATTTTACACTTTTCCATTATTATTATATCTGTTATGGTGATCTGTTATCAGTGAGCTTTGATATTATGATTGCAATTGTTTTGTTGTTCTTTGGTGTTTTAAAATAATTTTTGTTTTTTAGTTTTGTGGGTACACAGTAAGTATATATTCTTATGGGGTACATGAGATGCTTTGATACCGGCATGCCATGGGTAATAATCACATCATGGAAAATAGGGTCTCCATCCCCTCAACCATTTATCCTTGTGTTACAAACAATCCATTTACACTCTTTTAGTTTTTTAAAATGTACAATTAAGTTATTATGACTATAGACACCCCTTTGTGAGTAATTATTTTGGGGGTACCAGGAACTGCACCCATAGACGATGACAAACTTAATCGACCAATGTTGTGTGTGTTCTGACTGCTCCATCAATGAGCTGTTCCCTGTCTCTCCTCCTTTTTTTGGGCCTCCCTATTTCCTGAGACACAGCAACACTGAAATTATGACAGTTAAGAATCCTACAATGGCCACTAAGTGTTCAAATGAAAGGAAGAGTCACATGTCTCTCGCTTTAAATCACAAGCTAGAAATGGCTAAACCTAGTGAGGAATGCATGCTGAAAGCCAAGACAGGCTGAAAGCTTGGCCTCTTCCACTGAACAGTCAAGCTGTGAATGCAAAGGAAAAGTTCTTGAAGGAAATAATAATACTAATACTCCAGTGAACACACAAATAAGAATGCAAAGCAGCTTTACTGCTGAAATAGAGAAAGATTGTGTGGTGAGGATAGAATATGAAACCAGTCACAACATTCCCTTAAGCCAAAGTCTAATTCAGAGCAAGACCTGAACTCTCTTCAAGTCCATGAAAGCTGAGAGAAGTGAAGAAGCTGCAGGAGAAACATGTGAAGCTAGTAGAGGTTGGTTCGTGAGGTTTAAGGAAAGAAGCCGTCTCCACAGCATAAAAATGCAAGGTGAAGCAGCAAACCCTGATGGAGAGGCTGCAGCAAGTTATCCGGAAGATCTAGCTAAGATCACTGATGAAGGTGGCTCCACTAAACAACTGATTTTCAATGTAGATAAAATAGCTTTCTATTGGAAGGAGATGCCATCTAGGACTTTCATAGCTAGAGAGGACTGACTCCAACTTTGAGGAAGTTCTACTATGGGTAAAATGCTAACCAATAGCATCACATGCTACAGAGAAATCTTTCATGAAAGGGAGAGCTAATCTATGCGGCAAATGTCATAGTTGTGTCCTTTTAAGAAACTTCCACAGCCACTCCAGCCTTCAGCAACCACCACCTTGATCAGCCAGCAGCCATCAACACTGAGGCAAGACCCTCCACCAGCAAAAAGAGTGTGACTCACTGAAGGCTCAGAAGATTGTTAGCATTTTTTATCAATGAATTATTTTAAAATTAAGGTATGTACATTTTTAGACATAATGCTATTGCACACTTAATGACTACAGTATAGTGTAAACATAAAGTTTTTATGCACTGCAAAACGACAACAACAACAAAAATGTGTGACTCACTTTATTGCAGTGGCCTGCAATATATCTGAAGTACACATGTATTGGGTATCAGGCATTGAGCTGAGTAAGATATGATCCCAGGTCATTACAGACAGAATTGCTTGAGCACCTTTCATGTCATCAGGCCTTCTAGATATAATTTAATGCCTCCAAACAATTTATGAACTCTGACTCTTTATTTCCATCTTATGGACTAGGAATCTGGAATTGAGAAAATTTGGAAGACTTGACCCAAGTCATGTGGTTTTTTTATATGGATGACAACTCCAGTCTGTGTCTCTGGAAGTCATGTCTAGCATCTCATCTGGAGCTGGGCGAGCTCCTCAGCCCAGCCTGGAACCAGGCTTGTCTGGGATCCATGCCACACACCCAGTCCCCACACCTGAACATAGCCAGGGAAGCCAGAGGGGTTGTTCCCGAATTGTTTCCTCTTACCAGATCTCTTGTTAATCTTCTCAGAGGTATTTGCTTTTCCCGGGGGGCACAGCTATTTCCCATCGTTTTGTGGGCCAGATGCTTCTGGCACTTCCTTTGAATCATTTCCTTCCTCTGCTGGCTTCTTGGGCATGATCTTTATAATGTGAAGGTCACAGATAAACAGTATCAGTGACATTTCTATAGTGCTTTACAGCTTACAAAGCATCTTCACATGCGTTATCTTAGTCAATGTTCTCAGCAATGCTGGGAGAGTTACCCTCGCCTAAAGTAGGAGAAACTTGGGACATGGGGAGAAAAAGGCAGTGAGGGCATTTTTTATATTCTCCCACTCTTACCAGTGTTCGCATCCATGGAGGGACAAAGGTTCTCTGGTCCTTTGGATTTGAGAGATACTCACCTTCAGGAAGATTCCCTGGAGCCTGCTGAAAGTCATCTGAGGACGTTCAACTGAAAGAATACATCAGAATTTTTCTTTGTTGGTACAGATTTCCAAACTCTAGAGAGACTTCTGTTGCATGAGTGCATTCTGCAGCAGAGGGTTATGAGTCCACTCACTGTTGAGGAGTTATTTGAGATTTGCTTCTGAATTATGTTTAGTCCTCGTTGATTCATTTATTGGTGGCATCAATTCAGAATTATCCATCTCATGGTGTATCAGATGGGGACTAAACTCCATCACAGTCTCATCTTATTTCATTACATATCTTTTACTTTTTCCCAAATAATTAAATTAAATTGATTGGTTGGGAATCTGAACTGTATCCACTCAAGATGTACAACAACTAAAAATCACTGTACACTTGAAATGGGTGAATCTTATAGTATGTCCATTAAGCTGTTAAATGTGTGATGAACCATGGATGATTTAGTCCAGTGGCTCTGAAATATTTTCAGTATAAAGATACTCCTTTAATGTCAAAAACTTGGCAGATACTCAAGCACTGGATTTTCAGACCTCTTATAGTGATTGTGGGAGGCTGTAGAATCCGGCCTGTTTAGTTGGGGAGTAATAGGTCTACTGAAGACAGTTTAGACATTCTGACCTTGTTTTACAATTGTGTTGTCAGAGCAGATGAGCTCACATATGTCCCCTTTATATTCCTGAAATGCTCAAATCTCTCTACCTAAGAACCTGTCTTTTTTTCACCCTATGTTATCTCTCGTCACTGACAAGTGGGAAAGTTCTCTGTGTGTTGGATAAGGGATCACTGTTTTATTTTTTTT